CGGGACCGCGGGAAACGGAGATATCGCCGCAGAGGGGATGGCCGCCGGAAGTGCTCACTCACTTCCGGCGCCGCGTCTCGCGGGGCAGGCCGGGAGCGCCGAGCGCGGCCTCCCGCGCCCGTCGGTTGTCAGGGTAACCGCGCGTCTGCGCTGTGGATGAAATTCTCTCCCCGGGCCGTCCCCGGCTAGCCCCGCGGCTGCCTTTGCCTTTGAGGCGGGGCACAGAACAGGCGCCTGGGGTCCACCGGGCATCGACTGGCTCTGTGGCTTTTGTGACCCGCGTTTCTCAAGCTCAAGTGGGATGATACAACTAGTACCTTCCTCGTAGTGTCTTCCGAGGACCGAGTGTAAATGTAATGCCTGACCATATTGAGCGCTTACACAGTGTCAGTTGTCATCACGATCACCATCCCGACTGAAAAAGGCGGGAATGCAGGATAGAGAAGTTCAGGGTCCTGGTTTGGTCTTGGGACGAGAGGCGGCGTCTCAACAGACTAGGGAGCTAACCTACACCGGGCGCGCGGGGCGGGGCGAGGGCGCGGATGGGCACGTGACCCTCGGGGACGCTCACGCCAGGGGGCTGCGGAGGAACATGGCGCTGTATGCTCGGCCTGTGCTTCCCGCCCTCAGGCTCCTGGGCCCAGGCGGTGAGCGGGCTTGGGCCCGCCAGCCTCGGTTCGTCCCGGTGGCCGCCGCGGGGCGGGCGGGTCCAGCGCGAGACGCGGAGCTGGAGCGCCGTGCCGGCGGTGTCCGCAGCCCCGAGGCGCGGCTCGGATGGCGGGTCATTCCTCACGGCGCTTTGGGCGCCTGCGAGCAGTGCTCGCGCGTTGGAGCCTGCTACCCCACCCCTGTTAGTCGGATTGTATTCGGTGCTTTGCCTTTTTATGTAACAGTTTGTCTTGGCGTGGCTTCCCTTGAAAGCGTGAAAGCTTTCTCAGTCTTTTATACTGATCTGGGGAATTCCATTATATTGATGTTTCGTAATTTAACCGTTGTCTTAGCGAAGTCGTTTCTAATGTTTAGTTGGTACAAGTAATGCTGTGGTGAATGACCTTGTTTGTACCCCACCTTTTGGATAAATTCCTAGTAGTGGAACTTCTGGGTCTAAAGGTATATACGTTTTTATTGTCCCCACCAGCATATATTGATCACCCTTCTACACAGTAATTGCAGATTTTGGAATTCTTGCCTCGGAACTGGGCCTACAGACGGAAAAATCTTCAGGCCCCTGGTTGTTAATCATAGTTGTTAGGAAGCTAACTTAAATGCCCAATAATGGACGAATGTTTAACTAACGGTACATGCACTTGATGCCATCCCACACAGCTACTAAAAGACTGGTGAAGAGTTTAATGCAGAGATAGCAAGGAGTCTTCGGTTCATCCAGGAAACCTTTATTGAACTCTTCTTCGGTACCAGAGTCTGTTCCAGGTGCTGAGGATGGGGCAGGGACCTGAAAAACGCTTCTTTCCGTGGAGCGCATTCCAGTCTCAGAATCTCAGGCAGTTGTGTGTGTGGGACATGGCTGAATAGTGACCTGGTCTACGGGCTGCTGCTCAGGGGACTGCTGACTGTCATTAAACAAATCTTTGTTACCACTGCCCCCGAACAGGAGGTTGTTTGCACAGGCTTTCTGCAGTTTGAGAGTTGTGCCCTTTTGAGTTTTGATTTTGGGGTTCTTGTATGAAATCATCCTGTTTCACTTTCCCAGGCAGCACCCATGCTTGCTCCTCAGGGTCCTCCCACTCTCGGTAAGTCTCGTTCCATGTAGCATATACTTGAAGTCACACACCTTAAGTATATTCTAGACATTTGGTAAAAACTTGTCCATGCGTTTTTTAGTGGCAAATGTTTTACTTATGTAGGTGAAACATATATATCAAGTACCCTGGGTAATACTTTGCACTCAGTAGGTGCTCAACAATGGCAATAACTTCTACAATACGTGCTTTTTTTAACACCACCAAGCAGTTCTCCAGTTTTCTGTGGACACTGACAAGGTGTCCCACAGATTTAACTCAATTCTGAGACTATTGACCTGGAGATAGCACCAGCTCCCACAGTCCCACAAGGGTCCAGTCCCACAAGACTGCTATTTCAGATGCAAATCCAGGTTGCCGCCTGTGCTTCTGACCAACTGGCTATAAATGAGGAGGTTCCCATGACCCCTCTGGTTGGATGAATTTGCTAGAGTGGCTCACAGAACTCAGGAAACCAGTTTACTTACTAGATTACCAGTTTATTACAAAGGATATTAAAGGATGTAAATGAACAGCCAGATGAAGAGATACTTAGGGTGAGGTCTGGAAGGATCCCAAATACAGGAGCTTCTGTCCCCTTGGAGTTCAGGCCCCTGGGGCCCAGCACGTGGAAGTGTTCTGGTTCACCAACCTGGAAGCTCTCTGAATCCCCTCCTTTTGGGTTTTTATGGAGGTGGCAACCCTCTAATCACACTTTATTCCCCTGGCAACCAGCCCTCATCCTTAGGGAGTTTCCAAAAGTCACCTCATTGACATAAACTCAGTTGTGGTGGAAAGGGGGTTGTTATGCTTTTTTTTTGGGAAGATTGGCCCTGCGCTAACATCTGTTGCCAGTCTTCCTCTTGTTTTTTCTCCCCAAAGCCCCACTAGATAGTTGTACATCGTAGTTGTACATCCTTCTAGTTGCTCTATGTGGGACGCTGCCTCAGCATGGCTTGATGAGCGATGAGTAGGTCCATGCCCAGGATCTGAGCCGGTGGACCCCGGGCCACTGAAGCGGAATGTGTGAACTTAACCGCTATGCCATTGGGCCAACCCCAAAACGGGCTTGTTATGAATAACAAGACACCCATGTCACCTTCATGGCTCTGAAGCGATTTCAGGAACTGAGGATCTAAGACCAAACATTATAACAAAAGATGTTCCCATTGCCCTTAGGAAATTACAAGGGTTTGGGGATGAAAACCAAAATATAAATTTATTATAAATCACAATATCACAACTTCCTTCCTATTTCTTTTGTATTTTTCATAGTAATTGCATTTAGGAGGAGCTCAGTAAATGTTTGGGTGAGGCCCTTAGGTGAACAGATGTTCCTAATGCTGAGTGAAGTGGGGCATTTAATAGCTATACTTGGAGCCAGAGCATTCTCTTCCCCTCCTAGCATCTGACCAGTTTTCACTAGGAAACCCCCTTTGGTGATTTCATCGACTTGCACTCAGAAGAGCTGCCTTGACGGGTGCTTTTATGCAAGTCTTTGGTGCAGCAGAACTTTCTTCAGAATCTGTGGGCATCTCTGCAGGAGCATGGGGAGGAGGGGGGACATCATTTTCCCTGCTGTGTGTATTTCCTGTACTTCTTGCTGAGAGGTTTCCAGCTGTAGATCTTTTCAAGCAAGACTGTAAGAGTCATTGCTCGCTCCCTTGCTTTTGGCTTTGGCAGCTGAGGCTCAGGGTGTGTGAGTGACTTGAGACAGGCAGCGAGCTAGGGCTCTGACTCCTTGTGGAGCCGTCAGCCTTGCACGTATGCCTTCCTTTGTCACTTTCCTCTTTCCTCTTTTTTGTTTGTTTTGTGAGGAAGATCAGCCCTGAGCTAACATCCATGCCAATCCTCCTCTTTTTGCTGAGGAAGACCGGCCCTGAGCTAACATCTATTGCCAATCCTCCTCCTGTTTTTTCCTTTTTTCTCCCCAAAGCCCCAGTACATAGTTGTATGTCATAGTTGCACATCCTTCTAGTTGCTGTATGTGGGACACCACCTCAGCATGGCCAGACAAGCGGTGCGTCGGTGCGTGCCCGGGATCCAAACCCCCGGCCACCAGTAGCGGAGCCTGTGCACTTAACTGCTAAGCCACGGGGCCAGCTCCACGTTCCTCTTTCTCATTACGTATCTTCCAGAGGTCTGTTTTTTGGAAAACCAAGACGATGCTTTGTGTGGCAGGAGAGGTGACAACACAGGAGCATTCAAGTGGACTGTGAGTGGCAAGCAAGTCCCTAGGTTGCATCATTGCTGACCCCAGAATGGAGTGTGAGAGGAAGTGGGGCAGGGGTGACAGGCACCCTAAAAGGAGCCAGTACTGTCACCTTTCAGAAGAGGGCAAAATGACTTTTCACTGGGGTTCAGCAGTGGCTTCATGAAGGAGGTGGCATTTGATCCTGGCCTTGACTCCAGGAGATTTGGACATGCTGACGTGGAGACAGGTTTTTCAGGCAGAGGGAGCTGGGTTTTGGACATATACAAGAACCAGGGTGTCCTTTTGTTTGGCTGAAAGGAGGGATATATGAGAGGGAGTAGTGGGGATTGAAACTGACTGGGGTGGGATATGTTGGGGTCCTGTGGGAGCAGAGAGTTTCAGGGAAACCCTCAGCAGCAGTGTGTAAAGTAGATCCGTCTGTGCAGAGATTTTGCAGTGCTGGTTTTGTAAGGAGCAAAAGAAAAACCCAAAGACAGCAAACAGGAGAGTGAGTTAGGTCACACTCCCAGAAGACAAGTTCTGAGTTATTCTTGCATGTGTCTAAGGATGTGCTTTTAGGTGCCTATGACTGAAAGAAACACTCTTGGTTTCCTGTTTTTATGTCTGTATTTACCTTAGATTCATCATTCATTTGGGGAGGGTTGTCAGTTCAATTTGTTGAATCTCTTTTCCCGTCAGGGTGGAGGGGTCTCTATACCGACGTCAGAGATGTCCTGGGGGAGGGTCATCAAGGACCTTCTCCTGGAAGAATGGACGTGGTGGCTGCCAGCCGTTGGGGTGTGAGGAAGGTGCACTGTGCAGTGGGACGTGGTGGTCGTGAACTCTGGGCGAGTCACCAGCATGATATCAGGAGATGAAGTCGTGCAGCTTGGTGCGATGCCCAGTGGGGACCCTAAGAGCACATCTGTAAACCCAGGAGGCCTCTCTAGGCCCACGTGAGGCTCTGGTGCCACAAGCCTCCCACAGCTGCAGCTTCAGTGGGACATTTTCAGGTGCTGCTCCAGGCTCTGTGTGGTTTGTATGGCTTTTGTTTTCTTCCTGTGGCTTTCCTGGGCGTTGAGTCATTTACCGGCTCCTGAGGCCTCACTGAAGCCTGTGGCTTGTTTATTGTGTGTCTGGTTCTTTTTTTCTTGTGGAAGACCATCTCAGGCTCCTAACACTGAATCTCGTTGTGAGTGTTTCGGCTCATGGCTTCTGGAGAGACCTGAGAAGCCTTCTGGAGCTTTGAAGAGATGGCCCTGAGCTGCACTCTGCCTAGCCTTGCCTTGGTTGTGTGGTTTGTTAGGCTGCCACGTAATACGAGCAGCCTCCTGAATGGCTGCGAACCTTGAAGATGAAGTCTCTGCAGCAGTTTGAACCCCTAGCTTTCAGGGTATGAATGTTTCTTTCTGGAATGGTCTGTAGAACCCACTTTTCATGCTAATAACATGTGGGGTAAAGCCTGAGATGTTTAACTTTCTGTGAATGTCACCGTATTTGTCACATCCCAGGGGTGTTAGGGTGTATGGTTTGCAGAGAGTGTGCCCAGAGCCCCCATGACGGGATGCTCTTGGTCTGGCTTGAGCCTTTGGTGTGGATCCCTGTTCTCTCAGCACTGGCCTTTGATAACAGGAATTATGAAATGACACTTTCCCTACTTGCAAAGTTCCCATTAATCTGAATTTTTTGCTCCCAAATAAGTCTTGATTTCTGAGTTGAGACTGCTTTCTATTTTAGCCCATAGTCATCCATGATGAGAAAGGTGGTCATTTCTGGGGACAGAAGAGAAGTGTATGGTCATTCTCAGTGGTGGGGATGGTGGAAGGGCAGACAGTGCTCATTCTCACCAGCGTGAGCCAATTGTCATTGGTTACCTGGCCACTCTCCTTTCTCTGTCAGTATTACAGTTGGAAGAAGGCCCATATCTTTTTCTGCTGGTGCTTCAGGCGTCTTTGGAAGTGGAGGCCACAGTAAGAAGGAGAAGCTTTTCCTGCAGGATGTGGCTGAGCTGATTCGAGCCAGAGCCTGCCAGAGGGTGGTGGTCATGGTGGGGGCCGGCATCAGCACCCCCAGCGGCATTCGAGACTTCAGGTATCCCTGTGGTCTCCACACTCCTCCCACGCCACCCTTGGTTTACTCCACTTCCCTGCTCTCTCTGAAGGACTCCGAGCCTCTTGCTTCTGTTTGCAGATCTCCAGGGAGTGGCCTCTACAGCAACCTCCAGCAGTACAACGTCCCGTACCCCGAGGCCATTTTTGAACTCGGGTTTTTCTTTCACAACCCCAGGCCCTTTTTTGCTTTGGCCAAGGAGCTGTACCCTGGGAACTATAGGCCCAACGTCATTCACTACTTCCTCCGACTGCTCCACGAGAAAGGGCTACTTCTGCGGCTTTACACACAGAACATCGATGGGCTCGAGAGAGGTGAGTGCCCCATCCGTCTCACTCCTCTCCTGCAGGGAAGGCTTGGGTGCCTGTTTCTAGGTGGGGCTGAGGCCTAGTGCTTATACCCCATCCTGTGACTGATTTTGTGCCAACTAGTCATGCCTTCGTTCCTGACAAAAGCGCCCGCTGTGTGTTTAAGGGTCACTGTTGGGACCTCATTGGTGGACCTGTTTCCCCAGAATGCCTGCTGGGCTGCAAGTTTTGGGTAGAACTAAAGTTGACATTGAGAGCTTCTGGTTTTGCTAATCTGATATGATTTCTTTTTAAGAACTTTTATTATGGAATTTTTCGAGCACACAAAAATAAAGAGAAGAATGCAGTGAACCCTCATGTCCTCATCAGGGCCAGTCCTTGTTTCATCTGAGTCCTCTCCCCACCTTCTCTCTTACCCCCAGATTATTTTGAAGCAAATCCCTCACATCATAAATTTAATCTATAAACCTATCAATGGGTATCTCTACAAGATAAAGACTTTTAAAACATAATTATGATGGGCCGGCCCTGTGGCTTGGTGGTTGAGTGCGCGCGCTGCGATGCTGGTGGCCCGGGTTCGGATCCCGGGTGTGCATCGAGGCACCACTTCTCCGTTCATCCTGAGGCCGAGTCCCACATACAGCAACTAGAAGGATGTGCAGCTATGACATACAACTATCTACTGGGGCTTTGGGGGGAAAAAATAAAATTAATTAAATTTTTAAAAAAAAAAAAAACATAATTATGATACTTTCACACAAAGAAAGAAGTAATAATTGCTTAATATTATCAAACTCGATGTATGATGATTTCTTGACTTGTCCAGATGGTGGCCACAACCTCTGGCCATGCACTTGGAGAAGCAGTTGCTAGGCCTTTTTATCACATGAGTGACACTGACAGGTTTTGACAGTCAACTCTCTGCAAGCTGGCAGCAGCTCAGCCAGGCTGCACATGTCTTGTGATTTGAAAAAAGGACTCATTCGATTCCAGGAAAATGTTTCCTTGCTAGAAGGATTCTACAGTGTGGCCTCACATAGGCAGCAGTGAACACCCCGTGGGGATGGTCTCTTCTCCTGGAGATGCAGCAGGGCAGGCCTGTGGGAAGACAGGAGCATCTTGCTGTGGGCTTCAGCATAAGTTGAGTTAGGACAAACGGGGACATGGTGGGAAGCCTCCTGCAGCTGGCACTGTCTGTCCACCCACAACCTTTCAGAAGTTGACTGTGCTAACAGGTAACTGTCACAATGTTGCCTTTTGTTTTCCCACAAGTTTTTGGAAATTTATTGTGTTTATATTATTTTCTCACTTTTACTTGGTGCCTGTAGAATAGAAAATGTTTTCCTAGCTATTGGGTATCATTTCATCTTAACTTACATCACATTTTTTTTGTACTGTCGTTTTTTTTTTTGTGAGGAGGACTAGCCCTGAGCTAACATCCAATGCCAATCCTCCCCTTTTTTTCCTTGAGGAAGATTGGCCCCAGGCTAACATCTGTGCCCATCTTCCTCTACTGTATATGGGACGCCACCACAGCATGGCTTGACAAGTGGTGCGTCGGTGTGCGCCCGGTATCCAAACCTGCGAACCCCAGGCCGCCACAGTGGAGCGTGCACACTTAACCGCTGCGCCACTGGGCCGGCCCCTGTACTGTGTTTTGACAGGCTTTGTTATAACTCTAATTTGGCTCCGGCTGGGAGCCCTCATCCCTGTGCTTCTTCTGGTCAGTGGGTGATAGAGGCAGGGACATCAGGCTTCCCCTGAGGGCTGTGACTCCTCCCGGGGCTCACACTCTGGGGCTGGTGTGCCCACCTGGAGGCAGCAGCACTGAGCTTTGGTTTGAATTTCAGCATCTGGCATCCCAGCCTCAAAGCTGATTGAAGCTCATGGATCCTTTGCCTCTGCCACCTGCACCGTCTGCCGAACACCCTCCCCAGGAGAGGACTTTTGGGTGAGTTGTCACACTGACGGTTCTCTCCCTTCTGCACTTCACAGGGGGAGTGATCTGGAAAAGTGGCATTTTATAAGTATCATGTTGGAAGGACAATGGAACAGTAATAGTATGAAAACATTATTATTTATTTTTAAATTAGAAAAGTAATACATGCTTGTAAATTAGAGCAGCAGAGAAACATGTGGAAAATGGATCTCGCTCCAGCCAGCTCCTAGAGCCCATTTTTAAGAGTTTGGTGTGTAATGTTCCAGGCCTTTAAAACAAAGATGTGTATGGAAACATACATGCACGTATCTATGGTCACCCACAGATAGCTGCAATCTTTTTCAGTAATGGGATCATATTCTACAGCTTGCTTTGTTACAGAGCAAAATTTCATGGATATCTTGTGTCAATAACTGTAGCTCTGCTTACTCTTTTTAGTGACTAGAGAGTAGTACATTTAGGCATTCACCTATTGTGTGATAGTTTTTGATGTTGGTAATTTTTACTACTAAAAATAATACAGCAATGATACCCCTGTTTATACCCCTGTGTACTTCTGTAGGATGGGTTTTTTAAAGTAGAGTAGGACAGAATGGAAAATCTTAAATAAAGATGAAACTCTGAAATATCACAGGACCCAGTGGAAGAGGACCCTGTGTTTTATTTTTTATTGAGGTGAAATTCATATAACATAAAATTAACCATTTTAAAGTGTACAATTCATTGGCATTTAGTACATTTACAGTGTTGTGCAACCACTACTTCTATCTAATTCCAAAACGTTTTCATCACCCCAAAAGAAGACTCTATACCCACTAATTAGTCAGCCCTATTCCCTCCTCTCCCCCAGCCCCTGGCAACCAGCAATCTGCTTTCTCTCTCTATAGATTTGTCTATGCTGGATATTTCATGTGAATGGACTAATACAATATGTGACTTTTGTGTCTGGCTTCTTTCACTTAGCTTCATGTTTTCATGGTTTATCTGTGTTGTAGCATGTATCAGTACAGTAGTCCCCCCTTATCTGCAGTTTCACTTCCCACAGTTTCAGTTACCTATGGACCGTGATTGACTGCTGGTAACTGAAACCAGGCATAAGGGGGACTACTGTAGGGTTTGGTACTTTCCGTGGTATCAGGCATCCACTGAGGGTCTTGGGTATCCCTTATCCATGGATAAAGGGGAACTACTGTATTTTATTCCTTTTTATGGCTAAATTGTATTCCATTGTATCAGTGCACCACAATTTAGGTTGTTTCACCTTTTTACTATTTTGAATAGCTCTACTGTGGGAAGGGGGATCATTTAGGGTGTCGACCTTAAAAATAAAATAGCAAGTTATTTTTACTAGCAAAAGGAGTTTATTTGGGAATAGCAGAGGAATTGCAATTTGGGACATGCAAACTATGGTGAACATAGGCAAGTCCAGAGAACAAAGGAGAGGGCTTGCTTTTATAGAGGAGAAGAAGTTGGGAGGGGCTGTTTTGAACAAAAGTCTGGGAGGAGAGCAAGTCAGGGTGGAGACGGCTTCTCATTGGCTGGGCTGTTGCTGGGCAAGGAGAAAACTTTCCTTCCTCCTGCTGGGGTGTGTAAAGTAAGCTTCTTCCTGTTAGGGACTGTGAGGTATGCAAGTGGTAGTGTGTGAGAGCTCCCCCTTCAGGGCTTTCCATCTCCATTTTAAATGATATTTCCTTTATTTATTTTCACATTTCCCATTTTGATCAAGACTTTTCCTCAAAAGCATTGCTGATGAAGAGTCAGATTTTCCATATTTAGTGGTTTTGTCCTTTGGTGCCAGGAAGGACCTGTTGACCTTAAACATAAAAGTCAGTTATTTTACCAGCAAAAATGGGTTTATTCCAGAACAGCAAAGAATTGCAATTCATGTTGTGCACTCTATGGTGAACCACAGGCAAGTCCAGAGAAACAAAGGAGAGGAATGTTCTATAGAGGAGAAAGGGGTTGGGAGGGGCTGTATAAAGAGTCCACTGGAGGAAGCAGGGAGTTTGAAGTGTAGTGGCTTTTCGTCGGCTGAGTTGTGACAGTGTCTCATTGTCAGGGCTGCTGCTGGGCAAAGAGGAAATCTTCCTTCCTCCTGCTGGGGTAGCAAGACAGGCTTCTTCCTGTTGGGTTGCAATTGATGTCGAGTGGTAGGGTGTGAGAGCTCCCCTTCTGATCTCCTGACTTCATTTTAAATGAAGTTTCTGTTTATTAATTTTCATAGGCCTTTCCTGGTTGTCATGTTCCATGTTGGAGGGAAAGTGCACGGATGGGAAACCGTTGACGCCACATTTGAGTAATACGGAAGGGCAGAAGGGAGAATTCTCTGGCATTTCCCATCTGAAGTCTTTATCTTATCAGGGTCATAAGTGTTGGAGACCATCTCGAAGCATTGAGCTAGCCTCACCCCATTGGGCATGTCATTTCTATAAAGGCATGACAGGCAACAAGTATAAAACTTAAAAATTACTATACAGAATAAGATGAGGAGCAGAATAATGACCCAGTTTGTATAATAGTCCTGAACCAAAAGCCCAAACCTGAAGGCAGCCAGCTAAAGAGGTCAAAGGACCATGGATTGTCAGGTGAAATTTGTTGTAACCAGTGCTCTCGTTCCCTGATCTTGTGTAATTGAGTTTCTGCCTCTCCAGAAGCATTTATCCATGGCCAACAGGTGGTATTTGCTTTCACACAAATGCCTCCTTGTTCAGTAAGTAGGTAATCAAGTGCTATGTGATTGTCCAAAACTACTGATGCAAATGAGTCCAGTGGTCATTGTTGGGCTGCTACTGCTTTGGCTGTGGAATCGGCTGGCTCTCCTAGTGTTAGGGAGAGGTTTCTGATCATGCGTTCAGTTCATTGGCACTTACTCCAACCCAGGGCTCTCCCTACAGAGGCAAACCCAGAGTCATCTATGCTTCCTGTAACTTCCCATTTAAGATGGCCATGGAGACTTAATGGGGTGGACCAGTGGGAGGACCAATGGGAGGTTTCTGATTTGTTATGGATGTTAATAGGGGCACTTAAATGTCCCAATAAACATTGACCTCCAATTTGCCAGCTATCTAAACATTCATATGCCCATGGGAAATGCCACCTATCACAGATAAAAATGAAACCAGATGGAGCACAGGTGACTCCAGTTAGGGTCTGGTTATTGATAGATCCATTACCTGGAATTTCCTGATTGACACTTTCAAGTAGGGGTCAGAGGAATTGGGATGACCTTCTGTGAGGTACCACCCCAGCCTAAAGGGGTCTTTTCTAAAAGCCTTGCAAAGAGGAGTTAGCTGGTTTGTATTTCCCTCGGGTGCAGGAGAAGAGATCGTATGTAAATAAGGAAAAGAACATGGGGGAGTAAAGATCGTGTGATTGGCAAAGGTGGAGGTGTTTAGTTGAACTAGTATGGTTTTGAGTGGGGAAGGGTTGAAACAAGGTATGGGAACACCTGGCCGTAATAGCCTAACTTGATAGGTGACATCCATAGGCTTGTGGGTATAATTGACAGTGGCATTTGGGATTAAAGAGAAATTGGTTACAGGGAAAACCAGGGGGTCTCTGACATCATGAACAGATTGGAGTTTCTGGTGACAGATCCAACAGTCAGAAAGGTTTCCCCCTTTTGCAACAGATTGAGAAATGTGGGTAAGAGCATTGTCTTTCCAAGAAAGCGACGGAGAAAATAAGGTGAATAGCAACAGCGGGAAAAAGGTATATAGGCCTGGTCTTGGAAAAGTTGTCTCCTTCACTTCCGTCTGCTTCAACTCCTGGAAATCTGGTAGTGGCCTTTCCACTGGAGTTGAAGAGTGTCTTTCTGGAGATGTCTTTTCCAATAGATGAAATCTCTGGGTTCTAAGGAATGATGCTTAAGGTTTTCATCTCCTGGGAGCATGCTGCAAAAAGATTGTTCTACCAAAGCATGGTTATTTTCAACAGAAGCAATTAGGCCCTTACAGTATTGAAGTATATCCCCTTTTATCAGCTGTGGATCAAAAGAAGCAGGGGCTAGGTGCATTGGGCATCCTGTGATTATCTCAAAAGGGGAGAGTTTATGGGTACCAAAAGGGTTGAATCTGAGATTTAGAAGCACCAGTGGCAGTGCTTTTGGCCAGGGTATTTGAAGGGTTTCTACAAATTTTGCCGGTTGAGTCTTTTTGTTATGATTGTAAATGGGATTGTATTCTTGAGTTCTCTGTTAGTTCGTTATTAGAGTATAGAAATACAACTGATTTTTGTAAGTTGATTTTGTACCCTGCAACTTTGCTGTAGTTGTTGATTATTTCTAATAGTTTTCTGATGTATTCTTTAGGGTTTTCTATATATAGAATCATGTCGTCTACAAACAGTGAGAGTGTCACTTCTTCCTTGCCAATTTGGATCATTTTTATTTCCTTTTCTTGCCTAATTGCTCTGGTCAAAATCTCCAGTACTGTGTTGAATAAGAATGGCGAGAGTGGGTACGCTTGTCTTGTTCCTGTTCTCAGAGGGATGGCTTTCAGTTTTTCCCCATTGAGTATGATGTTGGCTGTGGGTTTGTCATATATGGCCTTTATTATGTTGAGGTACTTTCCTTCTATCATAGTTTTTATCATAAATGGATGTTGGATCTTGTCAAATGCTTTCTCTGCATCTATTGAGATGATCATGCAGTTTTTATTCCTCATTTTGTTAATGTGGTGTATCACATTGATTTGCAGATGTTGAACCATCCCTGCATCCCTGGTATGAATCCCACTTGATCGTGGTGTATGATCCTTTTAATGTATTGCTGTATTCGCTTTGCCAATATTTTGTTGAGGATTTCTGCATCTATGTTCATCAGTGATATTGGCCTGTAATTTTCCTTCTTTGTGTTGTCCTTGTCTGGCTTTGGGATCAGGGTGATGTTGGCCTTGTAAAATGTGTTGGGAAGTATTCTATCTTCTTCAGTTTTCTGGAATAGTTTGAGAAGGATAAGTATTAAATCTTCCTTGAATGTTTGGTAGAATTTTCCAGAGAAGCCATCTGGTCCC